TTTTCCGCGAGTGTCACACAGCTAAGTCAGTTTGGCGAGAATTGGTACAGCCGAATAGATAGGAAGAATTCATGGGAACGAACATAAATCTCTGATTGTTTAGAACTTACAGCAGATGGATCAATACCTAAATGTGAATGGCAATTGGGATTTGATGTTTGGGATAGTGATATGGAATCTCTGGACTCGTCGGAATAAAATTGAGTTTGATGAGTATCATGCTGAAGAATCCGTACTACAGAGAAGCCAACGGGGTCTACAGGAAATTGTTACGGCTCTTGCTAACCGTAGTAGGAACCGGACGGCACAAGGACAAAGGGTTGATCGAAATGTTAATTGGGTGCCTCCGCCGGATTGCTGGATGAAGCTTAATTCGGATGGAGCAAGGCAAGCTTTGACGAGACTAGCAACGTGTGGGGGGTGTTCAGGGATCATCGTGGATAATGGATTTTGGGTTTTTCGAAGAGAATTGGCATCTGTTCGACTCTTGATGCTGAATTATAGGGAATTTGTGTTGGTCTTGAGCTGGCTTGGGAGAGGAACATGAGACGGATTGTGGTGGAGACGGATTGCAAGGAAGCTTGGGGCATTTTGGAAGGTAAGGTGGGGTGCGAAGGTATTTCCCCCTTGTGCCACACCTTCGTGCTTTGGTTCAACGCAGTTGGAGTCTTCAATTTCGCTTTGTGCCTAGAGAGTGTATTATGGTAGCTGATGGATTAGCGAGCATGGCCTGGGGAGATCCGAATTAGAACCGACTGTATGTGCAGGCGCCTAAGAAAGTTCGCGGGAAGATTGCAATGGAAGCACTAGGTGTCGTGGAGTTGATTTTGCCTCTTTTTTACTCAAAAAAAAGTTATATATGTATTCTATCGCGGTTGAGTAACATGTTTAAATTTGATAAAAATAAATTTAAAATAAAATAATTGAAGAAACAAAGAAATTAATTACCTATTCACAAAACAATCAAAACTATTTAGCAAAGACTAAAACATTTATTTTCAATTTTTTAGTTATTCGATCTTTATAAATTTAAATTTAACTCGAACTTAAAATTTGAACAAAAATTTAAATTAATTCGAATAATTTAAAATAAAAATGTCCATTTTTAATCAAATTAAATTTTACTAAATAACTCTTAAATTTATACAATCTTATATTTATGTATAAAATATAAATTTAATAAATTAAATTTTGATATTATAAATGCATATAGTATGCGATGATAAAACTCATTATATTAAAAAAAAAGAATTTATAATTAAACTTTAAACGTAAAATTATTCAATAAATCAATCATGCATGAACAAAATGACTTCAGTGAGTAAAGGATGATTGTTATCCTTAGAGGTCTCAAGTTCGAGCACTAGCCACCATGGTTTTCAGAACTGGACCGGTTAGCGAACCGGCCATGCTACCAGTTCACTGGTTTAACCGTTCGAACCGGTCCGACCGGTCGGAAGAACCGGACGACGTCATAATTATTTAAAAAATTAAATAAAATATCAAAAATATTTAATAAAAATAATTTTTTATATCACAATTCATATTCAAAGCAAGTCATAACATATATAAGTTAAAACCCATAAAATCAAGTGAAACAAAATGATTCAAATTAACTACAACATAATATTTAAGGTAAAACATATTAAATAATAAATATAATTATATAACTATAATTAAAATATAAATTTGGGGCTAAAAATCATAACAAATTGATATTGTTTGGTTTAATTTTTTTAAAAAAAATAATCTCACATGGCTAAGAAACATAGAAGATCATCCCGACTAACTTCTATAAATAATAGAGGTAATTTGACATTCAAAATCATGGAGTCTTTTGGTAATCATTGAGTGAACTATTCTTTCACTTCAATCAAACTCGAATTTTAGGTTTCAATCGAGCTTTTAAATTTTTTTTGAGTTCAAGCCTTTTCGAGTTCAAGTTTTTTCGAGTTCAAGTTTCAATATTATATTTCGAGTTCGAGTTAAACTTCATAATTTTTAGCTCGTGAGTTTGAATCGAGTTGAGCTTACTTTTAAATTTTTTAAGTTCGAGTCGAGCTCAACAATACTCGAGTTCGATTTGGCTCGTTTAACAAACGACGTCATTTGGTTTAATTTAAAAAAAAAATTGGCGGTTTTTCTGGTTTTTCCCGATTTTTAGCCGGTCCGGTTTGAACGGTTCAGCGGTTTTGGCCGGTTCACTAGTAACGGTTCAACCGGTCTAGATTGAACCGGACTAGGCAACGGTTCCCGGTTGAACCGGCCGGTCCGGTTTTCAAAACAATGCTAGCCACTACAGAGCACTTTAATATTTATTATCAAATGATTGAGAATCTTTCAAACAAATTTTACACCACTTGTAATAATAATAACTCAATCACAAATTTTAAACATAAATGTAAAACCAGCATAAAACATACAATGAAAAATCAACTTTTAGTTATACACTAACACCAACACATAGAGGCACCACGACGTCGACGTTGCATGCCCCCACAGAGCTAAACAAATCACACTGATTTTGCCATGGGAAAACGACAGAGTTAATCTTACAATCTCTTCCCTATCAATTTGTAACCAAATTCAGACCCCCAGAACCCTTCTGACAACCATCCATTTAAACCACATCTTTCTACAAGTGCTGTCATTTTTATTTTGAAAGCGAGCAGGTTTTTTTAAACCCTATTTTCCAGTATTTATGGAGGTTTTGAAAACGGCCGCTTCTTGTGTAAACAATTTGAAGCGCCAAAGATGAATTGAATTCGGATATGATTTGCAGCAAGTTATGGTGGATATCACGTGATGTATACACTGAAGATTTCAGTAGCCCTACTGCTGCGTATAGCTCTAACTAGGTGGCATGGCCATACTCAAAACTGATCATCAAAAGGACGAACCTAAAGATAAAAGCAGTTAAAAGGGATAATTTTTATCTATTGAGGTATCGGATTTGAGTAATATCTATAAAAGTATATTGTTAAATGATTGAAAGTATTTCGAATAAATATTACTTTATATTTACCTCAAACTAATAAAAAGCCGATCATCATAAAAGGTTTAGATATAAAATTATTGTATAAATGATTCCTTTGTTTTTTTTATCATATAGTAATTCATTTAACCATCTTAATTCTCAGCATATTCTTATTACATGATTTACCCCATTGTTCCCTTGTCCCCTCCAATGGTACAAATGAAAACAGACTCAAGAAGAATGTATCACTTAAAAAGAAAAGCATTTTGACAATGGCAGATTAGCCACCCACATCCCATGTGGGTCTCCAATAATACCACTAAGTTTTTGACCAATTAGGGTTGTTTAATGATACAAGAGAATGACAGTCTTTGTTGAAACGTGTTGAATCATCATTGCTTCAATCTCAAAGCTCTGATCCCGACAAAGCTTTGTTTAAGTTTATATAAAATGAAAAACCCCAGATTAGGTTAAGTCCCCCTTGTGACTTTTATAACTATTCCTGCACATTGTCATGTTTTAAACAAATGGATTAACCCCTTCTTTTTATATAAACGTTCCACTTTGATTATCCTAATTCAAAAGAATATTAATAATTGGTATTGGAGAAATAGAAATGCAAGTTACATTGTCAATTATTGGTGTTCAGAACTTGAGTTGAAAGAGATTAAACAAGGTTGCATTGGATTCTAATCCAGGTCTAACCACATGTGTTTTGTCATTTTCTTGGGGGTGGGAGATTGAGTTGTATCACAAAAAGGTGAAACACATTACAAGGAATCTTCCCACTATCACAACTCTTAGAAAGGATAATTATCCAATATATTTAAGGAATTTAATAATAAAAGGAAATGTTATCCTATTTAAAAGATATGAGATTAAATACAATTTTACAATCACTTTAGATTATTAAAAAAATAATTACCCACTATCACATGTGTTCATACAAAGCATTATAAAGAGTTGATAGTTCGCAAAATTTGATCCCCTGAAAAGCCAAACTTAAAGTCAAAGTCTAAAGAGGGGAAAATGGCAGAGACTCCCCCACAGTGGGTCTTATGTGTAAATGAGACGAGATTGATTGCGAGTTAATTGAGATCGACTCAGTTAAAATTCAATAAATATTCAATTCGAATGGACTCAGCTCGAGTTCGAACTCGGCTTGAGTTTTTAACGAGCCGAAACAAACTACTTAATACTCGAGTCGAAAAGCTCATGAGCAGCTCGAAAATATAATATATTAAGATTTTATTTTAAAAAATAAATTATTAATAATATAAACATTTATGTGTTGATTTTTTTAAAATGCAGTATACAATTTTCATGTATTTAAAGTTCAGTTGTAAGTTTGAAGTTTAAATCGAGTTAAGTTTAAGATTTTTTTTTCATTTCGAGCATTTTAGAGCTTTTAAAAGTTTCAATTATTGATTTCAAGTTCAAGTCGAACTTAAAAATTTTATGCTCACGAATTTTCGAAACGAGTCAAACTCTATTTAAAAATTTTTAAGTCGACTCAAACCATTAGTATTCAAACTCGATTCTCTCTTTACGGCCCTAGTGGGTCTTGTGTGCTCAGCGATTTGTCCCACTCAATCAGCTAGTATATTGAAACATCCGTGCAGCATCTTCTTTACTCTTTAAAAAGGGACTTGCCATTTTTCTTATTAATACAAACTCATGACGATTGCAAATATTTTGAAAATTTTTAAAGCTTTGAATCTATTGGACACTTTTTTTTACCAACTTTTGGCGTAAGTTGTATGATCCTTGGTAGATTTTGACTTGCATGTGTTCCCCCCTATGAACATGAATAGTTTCAAAACAGAGACAAAAGCAGCAAAAGATTAAAAAACTGGAAAATAAAAATTAAACTCAGTGAGTGCTAAATAGATTTGACACAAGCAACAAAGAATAGTTACCAGTACAGATATGGAAACTTCAAAGGTGAAAAAGGAAAACCGAAAAGGAGTTAAATTTCAACATTTTATTTATATAAGAATTCATCTGTACGTAAAACTGCTAGTGATCCCTAGCTACCATTAAAGTGCCCTAAAATAGAACAAAAAATGGTGAACATGTTACAATAGATGAGGTAGAGCTTTTTTAAACATGGCGTATGAAGACAGCCTCCAAATCCGGTGGAGTAAAGAACTCTCTAACACTTGCGTAATTACACTTCAAGGAAGGCTTCTTCTTCATGGGAGCAGGCGGACATGTCAACAGCGTCGGTATTCTCGCTTCCCGTCCAGTTGGAGTGGTCGAACACGATTCTTCGTCTTCTTCTTTATCTTTGTGGTCGTCCACTGGATTCGTGTAAATAGGGTTCAACGGAGCTCGTAAAGAGATGCCGGCAATGACCCATTTTTTGCCGTCGGATTCCAAGCCTCCTCCTCCTCCTCCGTCCACCATTTGAGGCTTCCCTGAAACCCCCATATCCCTTTGGAAGGGATCAAAGAAGAAAAAATGAAGATGGAGTTTTTGCTTTCTCTTTTCCCTAGTGTGGAGGGAATCAGTTGGGAAGCAGAAGGAAAGTCATGGAAAGGAAATGAAAGGGAAGAACATGGGAGTTTAAATAAACAAACAAAAAGAGGAGGAATTAATGAGGGGGAGGGAAGGTTGAAAGTTGTGTTTATACCGATCAGAGAGAGAAGAGAACCCGAGGAAACTCGTGAAATGACATAAGCAAACCCACTTCTATCCAATTAAAAAAATTAAAAAGCCTGACGGCAGAAACAACTACTTCTCTAAGTTGCCCGTGAAAATAGCTGACCGCGGGCAGCCTTCGGAAATTGGGGGCTTAGGGATTGACATGGATTTTGGCGCCAGTTTTGGGGGTGAAGGTCGTGATCAGATCACCCCATGGTTTCCCAGCTGTTTCTCTTTCTCCAGTTCTGGGGTGGAATCTCGTTGCCGTTTGTAATATTTATATCTTGTATTTTTAGAAAACATTTCTTAAATTTATTGAATTTCGTTAATTAAAGTTTTCAGATAAGTTCCTATATTTATCTAAATCTTCCAAGAATTTATATTCTTCAAGGCAATTATAATGTACAAATTAAATTTTTAAGAAATTCACGTGATTTATTAAAACAAAATTAAATTAAAAATTTAACTATTACATTTATTTAGCTCGTTAATATGTAAGTAGTCATAAAAATTTTATATATGACACCAACTAAAATCATTACAATTACTTTTTTTCATCTATGATTGACAGAAGAATCTTCTAAAAAAATTTATTTTCTTTCACTTTTAACTCAAATATTCTCTCTTCGTTCTTCGAAAGAACAAGCCTATCGATAATCCTTTTTACACTGATTATAATTTTATACTCAAATAAAAAAATTAAACATCAACTATTGATAAAATTCATTTATTTTCATCAACGCCGTAATTTTTTATATAAAATTTATAATTAAATAAATCTTTAAACAAGACTAAATATATATGCGTTTTTGAGATTATCAAGGGTGCGTTTGATAAAAAATAATCTCAGTGACTAAAAATGCCTTATAATATATAATTTTAACTATTTTTTTTTTGGATTTGCCAAAATGACCAACTAAATCGCAATGCGATCGATAATTCGCAACGCGATCTCCGGCATCGTAAATTAGTTTCCAGATTCACAACGCGATTCTGACTATCGCATTGCGATTTCCTAAATTCGCGTTGCAATTTTCCTAATTCGCAATGCGAAGACGTAAATCGCAACGCGAATTTGGAAAATCGCAATGCGATTACGTAAATCGCAATGCGATTTACATAGCGCCATTCGTATTAACGCGTATTTTTTTTTCAAATTCTAAACACGAATATATTAATATATCGGAACACTGAACCGTCCACAGTATATCTCGTAATCGCAACTCATAACCTAAAACCCTAAATCAAAACTCAGTCTCATCTCCATCTCTCACTCTCTAAGGCGACATCCGTCCCCATCTCCGACGAAATCAGTCCCCACGACGATATCAATCTCCATCTCCGGCGAAATCATTCACGGTCAAAAATGGAAAATCAACCAAATCAACCACCGAGGGTTAGTTTTTTTAATTATTTTTATTTTGAAATTTTTGCATTATTATTAGGTTTTTTATATTGAAATTTATGATAAGTTTACTGGTGTTTTCAATAATAGATTAACCATTTCACTTAGATTGCTTATTATATTCATTCGATTGCTGTCAATACTGCTAAACTGTTTAGTCTTTAACCCTGTGAAGTTAGTATTTGTCTTTGTTTTGTCTTTTGGTTGAAGTAATGCAATCCATTCAAGTTTCTTTCAATTTTAGTATTTGAAACCGAGAATGACTATCGCAATGCGATTCTGTCGTTGCGATTTTCATTTCGCGTTGCGATTCTTGCGTTGCGATAGTCAAATTCGCGTTGCGATAGTCATTTTCGTGTTGCGATTTTCATTTTCGTGTTGCGATTTAAAGTTTTGCTAAACTATTCTTCTTCTGTAAATTGAAACTTGAATGAATTGCATTACTTCAACCAAAAAACAAAAACAAATATTAAATTCACAGTGTTGCAAATTTAAGTTTGAAGAATAAACTACTACTATTTATGTTGTTTATTGTTCTTGTTATATCTTCACAGTGTAGTTTTTGGTATATCTAAATTGGTATGTTTTATTGTTTTTGCAGAACTTTTATTCGACTCAATTGACCTTAAGAAATAAAGTAAGCATGGCCAAAACAATTGCGTCGAAGCTTTCACTTGCACAAAGAAAAATATTTGAGGATACTTACTTCGGGCCATGGCTGAAAGTACAACATCCGGGTGGAGATGCTATGTTGACCCATCTGTTTCTTCAAACCATGACTAGCGATCTACCAGAGACTATACAACGTCGTGATGAAGAGATATGGTTTGATTTTCCACCGGCATATACGTGTTTTGGGCGAGAGGAGTTTTGCTTAATCACTGGTCTACGCTTCGAACACGATGATGTAGATCGGTACACTAGACATATTACCCGCCTATCATGGTTTTCCCGGGTTTTTCCTGAGCTGTCAACGGAGAAGCCGAATTTACACGTGGAAGACTTGACGAGATTATTGAATAAGAAAGATGGTTTTACTCGGATGGATGACGTCGATGTTGTCCGAGTATGCCTTCTAATACTTTTGCAAGCCGGCTTTTTAGGCAGAGAGGCCCGACAACCTATTCATAATGATCTAATTAAATTGGTAGAGGACCTAAATACATGTAACCTGTTTCCGTGGTGTTCGTATCTATGGAGAGCTACATGGAATAAGTTGTCGTCTGCCTTTGATGATCAAAAACGTTTGCGTGGCAATGGTTCCAAATACACTTTGTCAGGCTTTATTTGGGCCTTTAAGGTAATAATTTTTATATAATGTTTCCAAAATTATAATTAATTCTTTAACAATTACTAATGTTTGTTATTATATTGTTTGTAGATTTGGATATTTGAGGCCTTTCCCGCCATGCAGACATATGCATTAAAAACTTCTAATGATATTCCTAGGGCTATTTCCTGGAAGAGGAAACAGTCCTTGCAGCAATGGGAAGATTTACTACCGTATACTACAATAAATAATGTAAGTTAACACAAATACTACTATATGTTTATAAACAAGTTATTACTAGTACACGTTTAACTTTGTTTGAGCTTTTATATTGTTAGGAGGCCAACACTCCATTACAGAGGCTGACACCCACGGAAGCTGAGCTTGCCACTGATTGGTGGCAAGCTAGTAAGCGTTTTTTTGATAGCACGGATGATGAGCAGCCACCACTTCGAGAGCCATCACCTCACCCAGAGCCATCACCTGATCGACCCGAATATACACCTTCACAACGAGAGTCATCACCTATTCTGTCACATCATCGAGCCTCTTCTCCCCCATCACCTCATGATAGGCGACCGACAAAGATGACACGACGTTTATCTCCCTGTTCTCCACCTCCACCTCCACGGGATGAGTTAGGGGAGTTACGTAATGAGGTCAATGCCTTGCGTGAGGAGGTCGGTACTTTACGCAATGAAATGGTGCATGGCGTGTTGAGGTGTATACTTTACGTGGTGAGGTAGCAGCTCTACGTAAGATTGTAGCATCGTTACAGAACGAGGTTCATACTCTACGCAACGAGGTAAGTTTAATATTTTTCATATTTAACTTGATGATAAATTTACTCGTAATTTTACTTAGATTGCTTAGTAAATTCATTCGGTTGCTGCCAATACTGTTTAATTGTTTATTCTTTAACCTTGTGAAGTTAGTATTTGTTTTTGGTTGTCTTTTGGTTGAAGTAATGTAATCCATTCAAGTTTCAATTTGCAGAAGAAGAATAGTTTACTATCGCAATGCGAAAATGACTATCGCAACGCGAAATGACTATCGCAACGAGAGAATCGCAATGCGAAAATGACTATCGCAATGCGAAAATGACTATCGCAACGAAATAATCGCAATGCGAAATGAAAATTGCATTGCGATTCTCTCGTTGCGATAGTCAAATTCGTATTGCGATAGTCATTTTCGCATTGCGATAGTCATTTTCGCGTTGCGATTTTGTTGTTGCGATTTTCATTTCGCATTGCGATTCTCTCGTTGCGATAGTCATTTTCGCGTTGTGATAGTCATTTTCGCGTTGCGATAGTCATTTTCGCGTTGCGATTTTAAGTTTCAGATTCTATTCTCCTTCTGCAAATTGAAACTTGAATGAATTGCATTACTTCAACCAAAAGACAAATACTAACTTCACAGTGTTGAAAATTTAAGTTTCAAGAATAAACTACTACTCTTTATGTTGTCATTGAACCTGCACTAAACCTATATGTTGTCCTTTTAAATGTTTATATAAGTGCTTACTTCTGGAATGTTATCTGATGCATTTTGTGAACAATGATATAATAATGACTTGGGTGAATATCGTGCAAGTTTGAAATATATTTGTCTTTGTTTTCACTGTTTAATATCATGTCTGTTTATTTACTGATTTATGTATTAATTTATTTTTAGCGGCCCGCTAAGGTGGATGCTCTACGTCGGGTTTTTCTTGCAAGATGGAGTTCACGCATCAGACGGCGCGCACGTGCCATTACGTCTCCGTTCACCCCAATAGTGCGAAGAATCCGTAAGAAAAAGCCCGCCTCACCTGTCATCATTCAAGAGGCCTCCCCTATCGTTCAAGAGGCCCCTATAATCCCTCAAGAGTCCCCTCCCACCGTTCAAGAGGCCACTGTCATCGTTGAAGAGGTCCCTCCCAACATTCTAGAGCCCGATTCACACGGCGTAATATATCGAATTATTAAGAAGCCCCCTCACGTGCCGAACATGATGGATGACTGTTGGCTTTCATATAAGTTACCGGCCAGTACCATTCCTTTAGATGAAGTGGAGAGGAAACAACTACCGGAAATAATTTTGGATAATACCCTTTGGGCTAAGACCGCAGTTGATTTTTATCTACATGAGCGGAGCCAAGGGTGTTACGTTGACATATACAAACTCAACGATGATATGCATTTGTTGATTGAACATTCTTGGTGGGGTGTATTATTAGGGGTTGAAGACAACGGCTATTTCGATGAG